GCGGCTTTTCCGGCAGAGCCGCGGAGCCGGGACAGAGCGGACGCGAGACCGGAGGAGCCGGGTCTGGGCCAGCTGAGTGACGGTTGGGGCGTGGCTGGTAGGGCGGAGTCTTGGACCGCGGGGTGGAGGTGGGGCGGGGCCTGGATGGCACGTGACCAGAAAGGCGGGCGTCTGGCCGCGTGACCGGAGAGGTGGGGCCTGGAGACCGCGTGACCGGTGGTAGGTCACGTGACGCGGCCCGCGAGCGCCGGGCCTCCCAAGATGGCGGTTTGCGTCGCGGTGATCGCTAAGGAGGTGTGTATGTGGGCAGCGAGGGCTTCCCGCCCCGCCCGTCCTCGCTTCTCCGCCTTTCTGCCCACCCCCTCGGCCCTGGGGGGCGTCTTAGGAAACGCGGCCCAGATGAGGCCTGCCTGGGCGTCCGGAGGACGCGCCGCCCGGCAGACACTGAGCCCCGACTCAGCTCGCGTCCCGCTGGCTGGAGTCCCCCTTGGCGCTTGGGCGCCCCCGGACCCCCCACCAGAACCCGGGCGTTCAGGGACGCAGCCTCCGCCTCGCCGCCCAGCAGGTCGGGCCCGGGCCGCGCCTGCTGTCCAGCGTCATCTTTCTCCTCGGCCCGCTCCCCTGCCAGACTCGCTTCGCGGCCGCCTCCGCCTACGATCTGGTGGTCTGGGGGTGCTGAGGGACAACCTGGTTCGGGGTCCCCTCCCACGACCGGCCGCGCCCACCCGACGACTCTCAGCTCTCGGGACAGGCCTGCGCTGGCCTCCGGGCCTTTGCACCTCTCCCAGTCCCTGCTCTCCCTCCCCCCGTGGTGGCCAGCGTAGATTTCTTCCCGGAAGCGCTTTTTCAACGCTGAGACTCAGCTGTGTCCCCGTGTGCAGGCTCCTGCACCCGGCGCCTTGGTTTCCTGCGGCGTCTCCCCTGAGATGTGACTTAGAAGGGCTCCCTTGGCTGTGGACTTTCCTCCTGGTCCGATCCACCACATGTCACTTGTTTGCGAGTTCACTGACCAGATATCATTAAGCTCCACGAGGGCAGAACAGTGTCTGGTTCAGGACTCTGCGACTCCCAGTACTGTCAGACGCGTGGTGAACGGTGGCTTGTGGGCGCTTAGAAAAGAAGCAGTTCACGCTGGGCTTGGGTGGTCAGAATGCAGGTGCAGGGAGCTTGAAAGTTTGCATAAAAGGGCCACCATCAAGGGGAAGAAATCACAAGGGGTGGCCTGTTAGGATGACCTCAGGGTGAGAGGTGGGCTGAGGCCGAGTGGATGCCAGAGGGTGAGTGACCTGCTGGTGACAGATATCGTGGTCAGGCCATGCTCAGACCTGCTTTCTGAATTGTTTTTTCCTTTCTGTGCATCTTACCAATTTTGTATACACATGTAGGCCCACTTGGCATAGGGCGGTCCCCCTAAGGTGGCAACCTTGGTAGTGGAGAATGAAGTGGGTTCTAGAGTGTGGGAAGGTCTTCCTAGTGGCTGGTGGGTCACAGCCACCAGAGCGCTCCATGGCACTGTTGGGGCCAGCCTGTGTTTTGAGTGGCCGTGGTCTTTTTTTGCAGAATTACCCACTGTACATCCGCAGCACCCCCACAGAAAATGAGCTGAAGTTCCACTACATGGTACACACGTCCCTGGACGTGGTGGACGAGAAGGTCTCTGCCATGGGCAAGGCCCTGGTGGACCAGCGGGAGCTCTACCTGGGCCTGCTGTACCCTACAGAGGACTACAAGGTGTATCTTTTGGTGCCAGCAGGGTCTGTGTGCTTTGGGATCCAACGACCTTGAAAAGTGGGAAGAAAAACCAGGTGGGGCCAGGGAGTTAGGGCAGGTGGAGGAGTCAGGGCAGGTGGAGGAGTCAGGGCAGGTGGAGACTAGCAAAGCCTCTCCTGCCTCTCTCCTTTTAATGAGAAGAATCACTTGGGGAATTCCTTGGAGAAGTGATGGTGTGCACCTGTCCTGCCTCTGGTTTTTGCCTGCAGGAATGTCTTTCTATGCCTCGAGAGGCCACCATCTCTGAGCAAGGGGTGATTGTCTCATTTATTCCATTATCAAATCCTGTCTTGTAGGTCACTAGAAACTCTTGATTGGTCTCATGGGACAAATCGCTTGAGACCGTGGAGTTCAGGGATGTTACATGACCGGTAGTTAGCTCATCCACAGTGATGCTAGTTAGGAGCCACTGTTTAACAACATTGTGGCTGGGAGTGGGGAGCTTGCCTTATTCGTGATGTTTCTGGTTTTGTAGCTAACATTCTGGACCAGGCACAGTGAGAGAGGGGTGTCCCAAGCACACGGGCAGAGCGAGGGTCTGGGCTCAGCCCCGCAATGAGAGTTGGGTGAGAGTTGCAGCCTCTGGTAACTCCAATAAGCACCAGACGCCATCTAGCACAGGGTCTGGGCTCACATGGGGGGTCACTGAGGACCAGCTGGCACTTCCTGTGACTCAGGCTGCCACGTTCTCTGAAGCGGGGGTTTCCAGAGGGCCTCAGAGGGTGTGTGTATTGGTAGCTATGCTGCCGTCCCTGTGCAAGAGGCACGTTCCCTAACCCACGGTGCAGATACGGCTATGTGACCAACTCGAAGGTGAAGTTTGTCATGGTGGTGGACTCCTCCAACACAGCCCTGCGGGACAACGAGATTCGCAGCGTGAGTGTGGAGGACGAGCAGGCCTTGCAGGGGGGTAGGGGAGGGATTGTCTTTTTCTCATTTTGTTCGAAATGCTGAGCCAAAAGTTGTGCCTGCTGGGTTAATGTGCAATGCCGCTGGGCCTGGTTTCAGATGTTCCGGAAGCTGCATAACTCCTACACAGACGTGATGTGCAACCCATTCTACAACCCGGGCGATCGCATCCAGTCCAGGTGGGCCCTGCCTCCCGCGTCCTGTTTCTGTAGGGCTTGCCTTGCTAAAACACTGCTTTTGGGAAAGTAAGTTGGAAGCACTGTCTTCAAGGGCAGTGATTTTAAAGCAGCAAGCTCTGATGTCCCAAACAGCCTCTTGCACAAACCTTCAGCGTCTGAGGAAATGAAGGCTGGGTGGGGGCAGGGCTTGCCTGGCTGGTTTCCAGGTCTGCCCGGTGAGTACCTGGGGCACCTCCAGGACTGCAGGGTCCAAGCACATGGACAGCAGCCTTCAGGGAGCAAACATCTTCTCGTCACTGCCCAACCTTTACACTGAACTTGGGTAGTGGGAACTTGGGTCATGGGTGTCTTCAGAGCAAACTGACTTGATGTGTGAATGTTACTAAGATGCTTCATCAGAAGTGGGTCCCCGTGCACACTCCAGATGTTTCCAGTATTCCCCTGTGCCAAGACACGTTCCCTTGAAGTTGGTAGGGGAGGGGATGCAGCAGTGACCCAAGCCAGCCCTTTCCTCTGCCGGGCACTGTGTGTCTCAGGTCACCCTGGGTCCCAGGTGGGGCAGGCCAGTGAACATTCGCAAAACATGCTGTGTCCCAGGCTATGTAGGGCAGCCACAGCCCCTCCTGGACTCCTGGGCCTTGACGCCAGAGACTCTGCCAGGGGCCTCAGAGGGAGGAGACAGGTTCTCACTGCCGGGTGTGGTGGGACTCCCCTGCTGGCCTCTCAGCTGAATTTACTTATCTGGACCCTGGAGAAGGCCTTCTGTGGGCAGGCAGTGGGCATACCTGTGTCTGTGTAGCAGCAGCTGGAAGACCCGGGCCTGTCCTCTGAGGGATCTCTCTCTCCTGCAGGGCCTTCGACACCATGGTGACATCTATGATGATCCAGGTCTGCTGAGCTCTTGCAGTCGTAGGGAAACGCGTGACTGCGGGAGACATGTCTTCCTCTTGCCTCTCCCTGAATGCGACACGCTGTTTAGGTGCACGCACGTCTCAACTAAAAGTCTTATGTTGAGAACTGACCTTTCCCTTCTGTGTCAGCAGAGGAATAACTCAGGTGTGGACAGAGTTCCTGTTATTGGGAGCCAAATGACAGGAAGCCCATTCTCTGTCTACAGGAAGGGACAGAGGCAGGGGCTTGAGGCCCAGAGAGTCAGAGCCCACAGGAGCTGTGGCCACACAGGGGTGCAGAGGGAAGGCACTGGGTGCGTGACTGGTGGCCTCTGCTCCCTCCTGCCCTGGCCATGGCCACCCTCTAGCTTAGCAGGTGGGTGGTCCGTAAGGGCCAGCCTCCTGAGTTCAGAGTCAGCCAGGATCCAGGGATAGGGCAGCCTGAGTGCCTTGCCACACAGCAGGGGTACCTGTTGGGACTCTGAGGCCTTCATTTGGGCCTGGTGGACGTCTGGGCCTCATCCCACCTTAGAAGGAGCCCTGTGGGGTCTGGAAAGCCTCACAGATTCGTGTCTTGTGGGCACTGTTTCCGAACAGGGGACACAGAAGCAAGGAGGCCGGGGGACGGCTGAGGACCCAGGTGTCCTGGGAGCCCAGGCACAGGAGGGACCACTGATTGGTCTGCCCGTCCTGCCCGCAGAGACCAGACTGGGTGCCACCTCCTCTCTCCTGGGCCATTTCACAGCGGGGCAGTGGTGGACAAGAGTCCCATGAATATATCCTTGTGCTATGTGTCCTCATGCCTCTGCCTGCTTGGGTTGAGCAGCCTGTGACTTGGCCAGCTCTCCCAGGGTCTCCTCCAGCCCTGGTCCAGGACTGGAGAAGGTCTCTTAAGACCATGGAGGAACCTGGCATCTCGTTGGCCTGGGGCTGGAAATGGAGGCTACTATTTCTCTACAGGCTTTGGACTTTTCTATCCTTCTCAGAAAGTGTGGTGCCAATCTGACCAGTTACAGAAGGGAGTAGTCAGGAACCTGTGTCAGAAACATACGTCCCAGGCCTGCCTCAGGCTGGATTGGAGACCCAGAGGGGGCTGAGGCATCCCAGGCACTGGCCCTGGTGCAGGGGCCGCAGGCCACCCTTCTCCCACACAGCTTTAACCAGAGCCTCGTGTCTCGAGAGACACAGGACTCCAGCCCAGGCCCTCCCCCGCCATCCCATGGACTCCCATCCTTGACTTGACTCGCCCTGCCCAAGTGCTGGCTAGGGTGGGGCTGCAGGATGCCCACCCACCATCAACCTCTCCTCTGTTATCGCAGGACCCACATCACTGGGACAGTAGCCAGATGGATGCTGTGTCTGCCTCCCTCCTGCCCCCGGGGTAGGTGTTGCAGCACATAAGTGGGTGGTGTTGGGAGAGACTTGCAGGCAAGGGCCTGTGAGGGGCTTGGCTGTCATGGGGGCTTCCTCCTGCCTGGAGCTTGAATGTGAGTTGGAGCTCAGCAGCCGTCCTGAAAATGAGGCCAGACTCCTGTCCTGAGGACGGCAGAGAAGGCGAGGAGGCTGGGCCTCTGCTGACCCCCAGCCCCGCTTGCGCACATTCAGCTTTTTTTACTGCGAGAAAATAAAGTGTTCCCATCTCGTTGGAGCTCCTGACATTTGGGTTGTGTTGGGGGTAGCCAGCTGGCCCTGCTTCTGCCCTAGCAAATGGCATGGGGCACTGGCCCAGCTTATGCCAGGGTGGAGGGGCAGTCTGCTCACCTGTTGACCACAGAGCTGTTGGTGGCAGACCTCAAAGGGCTGTGAGACGAGTTTGGGAAGGAGGTTGAGAAGGACGTGATGGAGGATGAGGGCACTGTGCCCGCCGGAAGGGACTGTGAAGCAGCCCTAGGTCCTTGCCAGTGCTGGTCGGGGATGCCTGTCCACCAGGGCCTTTGTGAGAGAGGCCCCTCCACAGAGAAGTTTCACACCCACCCCCTGAGCTGACCCAGCACCCCTGGTCCTGACTCGGGCCTCTGTGTAGCATGGCTGAGTCTGGTGAGCGGTACCAAGACTCTCAGGGTCAAGCCCAGGGATCCTCTCCTGCCTCTGACCTCCAGGCCCTGACATTCCCCCAACTGTGCCCTTGGACACCCCTGCAGGTTCCACTCACTGTGTTCTGCCTGCATGGTCTGACCCAGGGCCTGTCCCAGAGGCTGCTGCAGAGGGAGGGTGTTCCTGTAGGCCCCTGTAGTTTGTGGTGCTGATCCCTGGGAAGTTGGTGGTTTCTGGGCAGTGCCTGTTAAGTGTCCCAGACCATGGCCTGCAGATGCCCAGGCACGGGGTCACGACCCTCAGATCCCAGGGAGGCCTAAGCTCTCCCTTCACCCGGAGGCTGCTGTGGTCACATGACACCCAGTTATTACCAGTGTTCCTCTGCAGAGCGTCCAGCCCCACTCAGCATAGACACCAGACCCAGCTCCAGGCCTGAGGGTTCCTCACTTGGCCCTGCCCCAGTTGAGCCCACATGCTGAGACAGAACAGAGAGGAGCTGGCTGAGGCCGCTGTGCGTTCTCGGCCAGCAGTCTCACCTCTCTGTGCCTCTTCTGGACTCTGGGGACAAGAGTCACTCAGCACAAATGCACCTTGATGACACGGCCCTGGAACACTTGGAGGCAGACTTAATGGAGGCGTAGCTGGGGTAGGCCCAGCCCCTCCACAGGGCCCGCAGTGACCCCTTGGGTGCTGGAGAACGTATCGTGTAGGATGATGCAGCTAAAGTTCCTGTGGCAGCGGAAGAGCGCCCCCAGATCCACTGTGGAGCCCCGTGGTCCACCTGAACATGCATGACCCACACAGTCGGGAATGTGCCTGCTCTCGGGGCTTTCTTGGTAGAGAGTGATTGGGAGAAACCCAGGCCCAGTCCAAGCCCTGGAAGCCAGAGATGTGCTGGCTTAGCGTGGCCCAGGGGTCCCAGTGCTCCCCGGCTCTGCAGTCTATGCCCGGTCTGTCAGGCTGTGCCTGGGTCATGTGAGACGTGTGGCTCCCACAAGTGGGACTCGTTTCCTTGCTGTGAGCCACATGGGGATTTCACATGGGATCTTGAGTTCCGGCTCATATGGAGCAGTTGGAATATCTCACAAGGCTGCAAATCCTTGAGGACGGCCAGGCTCCTCACGAGTCTGCTGCCCAGATACCCTCCCTCTCTGGAGCCCCACTGTGGCTCCATCCACGGAGAGGGACAGCTGGTGACCGCAGGGCTGGTGGGTGGGATGGGACCCACTTGCTGTCCCCTGCCCACTCACACTGACCATGTAGATGGATCTTTGTCAGCCTTCGCTTTCTCCTTAAGGGCCCCGGAAAAGGGTAGCCTGTGGAGGGAGCAGTCTCAGGACCACGGGCAGGGTCAAGGGGGGGGATGGGGAGAACAGGCCTGTGTGGAACGGTCCTTCTGCCTGGAGCACTCTGTCTTCTGGGCTCCATACAGCCATCTGTGCACAGCCAGGAGGCACTGTCCCACTGTGCTGCTGCTTCCAGGAAGCCTGAGCTACTGCTCCTTCTTCAAGTGGCTGCCATGCCAGGCCTCTTCCTCTGTCTTCTGTGTCCGTGACTCACTCAGGTTCCCCCTGGAAACCGGAGTGCCTCGGGCAGTGTCCACGTCTGCGGAGGACAGGCTGGCCTCTCGGGGCCACAGGATGAGGACGCAGAGCGGTGCTGCCAGTGCCCCTCCCCATTGGGGCACAGGCCAGCCCTCAGCCCTGTGTATCTGCACCTTCCCCGGGCCCACCTGGAGCCTAAGCTCTTCTCCATGTGGGAGGCAGCACCGCAGGGAGCCAGGTTCAGGCCAAGTGTCACGGGACTCAGTCCAGGCCTGGCCAGCCCCTCCGGGCTCAGGCCACCACAGTGGAAAAACCTGGTCATCCTCGGCCGGTCTATCCTCAGACTATTCTGAGACTGCTGACATGCCGACTGCCGGCCCCACCAGCACCTGGCACGGCACAGGCTCACCCCACGCCGGCCTTCCAGTGACACTTCAGATACTCCGTGCTCTAAACACGGCCTGGTATCAGTAACAGCCGGGCTTTCACAACCAGTGCTAAGGTTGGCACGGACTTGGGGCGGACCAATCTGTGGGCCCGACACCCGGCGCTACGTCCTGGATGCTCATGGGGACAGGACACCCCTTCCTGCTCTGTCCACTCTCAGGTCCTCTGTCTCCCTTAGGTTCCCTGTGTCCCCCTCCAGGCCCCCAGTATACATCCCGAACCTCCTGTGTCCAACCCCCAGTCCCCTGTGTCCCCCCCTAGACCCACTTTGTCCCAGCTCAGGCCCACTGTGTCTACTCCCAGGCCCTTTGTGGCCCCCCAGATCCCCTGTGTCCCCCCAGGCCCCCTGTGTCCACTCTCAGGTCCTCTGTGTCACCTAGGTTTTCTTTTGTCCCCTAGTTTTCTGTCCACCATTAGGTGGGACACGTCATGGGACTCAGCCCTGGAGACTGTCAGGGTCATCTCTGGGTCAGGGTTGTCTGATCACTGCCATGCCCAGAGCTAAAGGAGGCTGTGTGTGGCTGGGCCAGCACTCCTCCCTGCTGTGCCCTCGGGCCCTGCCTTTGCATCCCACGATGCACACATGTCCCCCAGAGTGCATGCTGCACGGGGAGGCCCGGCTCTCACGCTCGGTGTGGAGGGAACCCCAGCCCCTGTGTGGTGACCCACAAGTCGCCAGGACCCAAGGAGAGACAGGGGCGCATGACAAACAGACGCTTTATTCCACAGACACAGAGTTCACCGACCACAGCAGGGCAGTGTCCACAGGTCAGACAAGACATCAGGTGGTGGGCAACGGGTGAGGCCTTGGAGGGAGCCACACGAGGGAAACACCCAGCTCAGTCCGGCTCCTTCGGGGAATAAGAAAGGAGGAAGGAGGAAGAGGTGCTGACGCGTCTTCTCTGCAAGGCCGTGCATGGTTGTGTGTCCCCACCAGCTTGACCAGCCCTCACGAATGGTAGGGGAGTCAGTTAACTGTCCCAGGACCTGCTGTGCTTGGGGCGTGGGCAGGCTTTCCTGCTACACAGGGTCTGTAGGCAGATGCAGGCTCAGCCTGCCTGAAGTAGATGGAGTGGGAATGCAAGGCAGATTTTTCTGGAACTTTGAAGGACAGCAGGGTGGGCACCGACACTGCGGGTCTGGGCAGGGGAGTCTGGCCCTAGCCCCTTCTCTTGGGCTCTTCCTCTCCTGCCACCGTGACCCTTGGCCTAACCCCATTTTGGGAAGTGCCCCCGCGGCGTGGGAGCTGGCAGGACAGGTGGACATGAGCCCCCGGGGGGGTGTGTGTGGGAGAGTAGGGTGCTGGGGGGGTGCCTGTGGCTGGGCCTCCAGGGTCTCAGAAATTCAAGTCCCTCCGGAGTTCAGCCAGCAGGTCTGTTCCAGCCTCAGGTTGGAAGGGCTCAGCTCTGAGCTGTGTGGGACCCTAGGAGAGAAGGTGGGGTGGGTCCCCCGAGGAGTGGGGCCCCAGAGTGCCAGTCTCAGGAGGGAGCACCTGTGTACCCTATTCTGGGGACACCTTCTTTGGGCACTGACCCCCACGGACACCGAGGACTTGCCAGGGGACATGCCCACCCTGGTGCCTGGTCAGTACTCCAGAACAGGTGTGCCAGCTGCTGCCCAACACGCATACCTGGCCATGGCCACCAGGCACTTCCTCCAGGTGGCCCGGATTGACTGGAGCTGTCTGAGGCTGCGGGTCCTAGCTGCCCTCAGTGCCTACTGCAGAATCCTAGCTGTCCTTGGAGGCATCCAGCAGGTCTGGGCCAGGTTGGCGCTGGAGGGACTGCCCACAGGCGGGGGCCCTGGGTAGCAGCTGAGATCAGGGAGACTGCAGTGGGCCCTGTGCCCGGTGCACGGAGGCAGGGGGTGCGACTGGTATCCATGGTAGGGGCTGGGTGGGGGTGGCTGTGTGGAACCAGATGGAGAAAGGGCAGCGAGTGGGGCAGGGTGGCTTGCAGGTGGAGCAAAGCAGGGCAGATGTGAAGGATGGTGGGCCACTGTGGGTGGTAGGGGATGGGCAGGTGGACGGGCCAGGAGGGGGCCAGAGACCAGGCTTTGGTGTCAGCTTAAGGGTCCATCTGGAAAAACTGGCCAACGGGAGGGTCCGGGCCCGCCCTGATCCCTTCTTGATCCTGTCTATCAGTCGCTTGGGTGACCCCTGCTGGCCCTCCCATCCACCTCCTCCATCGCAAACCCCTGGGGCCCCTCCCCTGTGTGTCTTCTCCTGGGAGGTGGGCTCCCCGACCCTGACCCTGGCCCTGAGGCTCCCTCTGCCTTGGGGGTGTCCTGAGGGTGGGGTGTGTCCTGCCGTCCCTCCCCCACTTGTGTCTGCGTGCTTCCCTTCAGGTCAGAGGTTCAGCCAGAAGGAGACTTCGAGGGTGAGTGGCTCTGAGGACGTGTCGAGGCTTTGTCGGGGCAGAGATCTTCTCTGAAGACCAGCCCGAGTCCAGTGCTGGGTGGGTCAGGCAGAAGAGAGGGCCAGGCAGGCTGTGGGGTCACATCAGGAGCCTCTTTCCAGATGAGGGGCCAGGTGCAACCATCCTGCCATCCCCCCATTCTGCTGTCCTCTCGCCGGGCCATCCCCCCCGATCCTGCCGTCTCTCATACCTGGCCATCCTGCCTCAGCTTTGGCCTCGGAACAGGGGATGAAACTGTGCATTGGCTGGGATCTTGGGGGGCCCTGTGAGCAGCTGCATCTTGAGAGCATTTGGTTGGTGTGCACACCCCATCTTAGCGTGGAGGGAGGAGAGCTTGACCAGCGCACCCGTGGGCCGGTGGCCGGTGAGTGCCTGGAGGCAGCAGGTGGATGGGCTCTGGCGGGCAGAGATGGGATCCCCCTGGCCCCAGGTGTGGCTCCTGCCCAGCTCCTTCTGCCCAAAGTCTGCCCAGAAGGAGGAAGGCAGGTGGCCCCAAGTTCAGGTTAAATACAGGCAGTGGTGTGCACAGCCCCTATTAGACAACTACCTCAAGGACACTACCCCACCCCTCCCCATAGCTATGGGTTCTGCTGCCGGGGCTTTGGTAAGTGGGGCCTGAGCACAGCGACCGACAGAAGGCCTGCTGGACGGGTGTCAGAGGGACCCGGAGCCTCCCTGGTGGGAGGGAACCACCTGGTGCCCGCCCACCATTCCCCGACATAGCACACCTGGAACACCCTCTTCTGCTGTCTATGGGCCTCAGTTTCCCCACACAGTCCTCACATGCTGCCTTGCTGCCAACCTGATTCGGGGTGCTCTTGGACATGGGGGCTCCACCTGGTGGCCCTGGTCAATTCCTGCATGCCAGGCTTCAGTGGGTGGACGGCACCCGATATGGGCGTGAGGGGTGTGTCTTATCGGCCCTGGAGGCTGGTCTGGCCACACGTAGCCAAACCAGCAAATACACTACTGTCCTTGACCCACCTGCTTGTCCCCAGAGAGGGGTCTGGGGATGGGAGGGAAGAAGGAGACCTTTGCCAGAAAGGCAAACCAGGGAGTCTCCTCCAAGGCTCGCCCCAGTTCTGACCTTAGCTGCCAGGGTCCCCTGGCAGGGGGTCTCCAAGGACCACCTGCTCCCCGCACAGCCTGGTGGGCCGCACCAGTGCAGCGCCCATCACCTGCCTCTGTGTTTCTCCATGGCAGCCAGCTGTCCTGTCCACTTGGGAGGGCACAGGGGACACATGGGAATAGATGGGCACCCAGTGTGGGGAGGGAGGAATCTCGGGACGCCTACCTCCGCGGGAGGCTGGGCTTCCTTACCAGTGCCCCCAGTACTGTGGCGGCTGCAGGATCCAGGCAAGGGAACAGCAGCCCTTGAAGACACAGCAGGCAGGACCACACCCCGACCCAGGCAAGCAAGGCCAGCAGGGCACCGCCTGACTTGGGGAGGCGGAGCTGGGACCCAGGGGCTCTTCTGGAGGGTGGAGCAGATTGCGACTCCAGGATGAGGTTCTGCTGCCTTGCCTGGCTCAGGTTTGATGGTGGCCAGCCGGGCTTCTTCCTCTCATTCTCAAAGGAAGAATTCCCACAGCCTCAAGGGAGCCCCGCCACGGCCTGAGGGACTGCAGTGCATGTTCCTCTGAAAACCTACTTCCTACACTTGATATATAGCATGTTTTCTCTTAACTTTTATTTGGCAAAATCTCTTCTTTATTATTGTCACGGTATCATTATTTGGACCTCTGCAAACACCGTGTACATTCACATTACGTTCGCCATTGGCTCTGGCCTGTGGCGGGCACAGCACCCGCGCTCAGTAGCTGAATTGCTCCCGTATTGCACTGACTTTCTGGAACTCTCCACGGTGGCGCAGATGCTGGAACAGGGCTGTGTCTGCCATCTGTGTCCTTCCATCCAGTGCAGATGTGCCGTCTCCCTGTCACCCCTGTTTCCTCCTTGAAATCACTGGGGAGTCCAGGGAGCGGGGCAGGTGGGGGTGAGTGTCCGAGGAAAACACCCCCCTGTGACACTCCCAGGGCTGGAGGCCGGTGAGATGTGGGTTATGTACAATAGGTCGGACTTCCCCAGGGAGGACTGGGCTTTCACTAGTCATTTTTTTTTTTTCGTTTGTTTTTCCAAACAAGTTTGGAAGAGAGGGCCGCTGGTGGGTGAGGGCTGAGACGGTGAGACAGGCGAGGCCGAGCAAGAGGTAGAGGAGGGAGAGCTGGCGGCAGGTGAGGTCCCGTCTCCTGGTGCTCTGAAAAGCAGTCAAGGTTCAACCCAAAAGATTGTCACAGTTTTGTCTCGGAATTATGCTCTCTCTGGGAAGGAAACTTTAGCACTTTTTTTCACAAGTGGAAAAATGAAATGTGAAAAGTCACCGAGGGCAGGAGGGTGGGCACAGTGGCCATGCAACTATGTGGCCACGTGCCGGCACACAAAGCATATGTCTACACAGACCATGGCACACGCAGACACATGACACATGAAACCACGTACCGGCACATGCAGACACAGCCACACGCAGATACGCAACATGTGGGTGCTGAAGAAACACGTGTCACGGCTTGCTGGACTCAAACCCTCCATACCCCAAGATCCCAACCTCACAAATGAGCAAAACAGAAGCAAGAAAAGAAGACCGACGTCCAAACACACCCAGGAGAGGGTGAAACAGTGGAGAAGCGCGCTGGCAGTGCCAGCACGGCCCTGGACTCTGCCTTCTTGGCTTGCTTTTTGGATTTCCTTTGGAGCAGAGGTGTGTCCGGTATCCTTGGCTGGCTAGCTGGCAAGGTAGTTTACAGGTAGGCTTCCTTTGCTTTCTTTCAAAAACCTTTTTGGATTTTTACTTAAAGCCAAAGAGTTTAATATCAAAGGAAAAGAAATCTGAAACCAAAGATGCTCGAGTCAAACTGAAATCTCTCACTGTTGTCGCTGCGTCTTCTGGGACCCCGGGGGTGTGCGGTGCACAGCGAGGCTCAGGTCTCTGGCTATAAAGTCACAGTTTTCTTTTTCCCTTTTTAGTGAGGAAGGGGGGAACTCCCCTCAGTTTTTTTTTAATCCATTTCTGAGTAGCTCTTTAGCCAACAAAACAAAACCCCGAACAAATTCTTCTCTGAAAATATAAGCCACCAATTAGACTTTTTTCCATTAAAGTGAAAGCGTGTGAATGTCATAAAGATAGAAAAACAAGAGGAGGAAAGGAGAAGGACAGAGAGAGGTGGAGGGAGGGAAGGAGAGACAGGAGGCAGGAAGGGAGAGGAGACAGGAGGCAGGCCGTGGGCTGGCCACCTCCGCCTTCTAAAGCTCGGTGGTGTTTCGGAGGATGCTTGAGGCTGTCGGTCGTCAAAATGTTCAGGTAGCTGAGGAAGTTGCATTGGATGCAGCTTTGTCGGTTCTGTTTTCTCTTGGAGAGAGGCAGTAGCAGCAGTGACTCCAGCTGGCTCCCTGGGCCGGGCGGTGCAGCGTCCGGTGGGCCAGGACCAGGGCCGGGCGGGGTCGGCAGGGCGCTGTGTCTGGCGGGCTGGCCAGGAGGGCTCAGCGGGGCACAGCGTCCAGCAGGCCGGGGGAGGTGGGGCGAGAGGGTCCCGCAGAGCCGGCCTCACCAGGGCTGGCAGCGCCCGCAGGCAGGGCGGCATCAGGCTGTGCGGGTGCTGGTTGGGTGCCCACGGTGGGGCCCTGCAGGCTCTGGCCGCACACATGATGGTGCTTCTCCCAGTCCCTGTGCTGGCAGAAGGACCCACAGTAGCGCGCCGCGTTGCAGCCACTGCATGTCTCGCTGGCCTTGCGCCCGCAGTTCCAGCAGCTCTACAGGGGAGGGAGTGGTCAGGACCAGGCCAGCCCACCCCGAGTGCCCAACACACCTCCAATCCAAGCCCTCAGATCCAGCCACACAGACCTCGGGGCATCGACATGCAACCTGTTGGCCTGTCTTGCAGGATGGCCGCTTCCACCACATCCAGCACCCCAGCCTGCCCGGACAGGCTGGCTCTGTGCCTCCAGGACCGTGGCCCCTGTCCCTTCCAGGAAGGCCCTGAGCTCAGTAGGGGCCCCTGCCCGCCTCGGCCCTCTCTCCCCTGCCTGGGCTCGTTCCTTCCCGGGACAGTAGCCACTTCGGCTGCCTGTGTGCAGGAGGTGCAGGGACACCACGTAGAGCCTGAGTGTGTATTTGTCCCCTCAAGGAACCAGCCAGTCTGTGGGACAGGGAAATCCAAACCCACCCTGGGGGTGAAGCCAGGCCTCTACTCAGCCTCCAAGGCCCTGGCAGCCCTTCCTGCCCCCAGATGCCCGCTGCCACCATGCCCACTTCCTTGTCCCTTGGGGGTCCCTCTGCCGGACCTGCCCCCCAACACCCGTGACACCTGCGTGGCTACCCGCTGCCTGCAGTCCCTCCCAAAGGAGGCGCTGACCCGCCTGCTCCTGGCTGATCCCTTCCTCCCACTCAGCTCCGAGGGACTCTGGCCCTTCTTGTTCTGGCCTGTTCTCCACAGCTGGGAGTATTTGAGGAAAGAGTTGGTGCCGGAAAGCACGCGTGGCTGGGACTCCATGGTTCCAGCCCCAGGGCCTGCCCAGGCATGCCACCCAAGGCTTGGGAACTCGCTCCTCCTCAGAGGGTCGTCCCGGGACTCCCCAGAGGGCCTCTCCTCCCCAGTGTCTCTGCCATCCCAGGCTGATGGAACAAGAAGGAAAAGGGTGGCAGGGGTCTCCTGCACCCACCTTCTGAGACAGAGCCCGCCCTGGGGCACGAGGCACACAGGATGAGGCTCATGCCTGCTGTGGGCAGGCCCTCCAAAGCCCTGGCCTCCTAACTCCTGTGGGTCCCCTCTCCCCTACCCTTGCAGGTCCTCACTGCCACCCACCACTCCTGTCGGTCTTTACCACCCTCCTCCCTTCCACTTCTGCTTGTCACTGCCCTCCTCGACCCCTGCTTCCACAGGCTAGAGAGGAACTGGCTTCCATGTCAGCAATGTGGGGTCAAGCACCACCCTGCCCCGTCTCAGGGCTGTGACCTTGGATAAGCACCGGCCTCTTGAGTCCTGTGTCTGCACCTGCAGGATGGGGTCCCAGGGTGCCTCTCCAGGCAGTGTGGTGCCTTTGTGCTGAGGAGTGCCTCTGGGCAGGGGTGTGTACTTGCCCCAGGATGCCATGACAGCCGCACTGACGGCCACGCCAGGCCCAGAGCCCTGGGGGTACTCAAGACCAGCCAGACTCAGGCAGCAGCTGGCGCGGGTGCCGGGGGCCTACCTCACTGGAGTCCTCTTGCTGGTTGACAACTGTCAGCGCATCCTCAGAAGCCTGGCGCTTGGCCTCCGCCAGGGCCCGCTCCATCTTGGCACGCTCCAGGGTGATGAGCTCGTGGGCCTTGCGCTCTGCGTCTGACACAGCCTTTTGCAGCTCTGACATGGCTTGCCGTTTCACCTCGTTCACCGCCTCTTCTGCAGAGCATGCGGTGGTCATGCAGAGGTCACAGGGCCTCCCACACCCAACCCAGGGCAGGGTTGTGCACAGCTGAGAGCACATGTGCCACTGACTACACGCACGAGTGTGCACACGCAGGCACATGGGGCCCTGTGGCCACAGACAGCAGTCGTCAGCGGAGTGCCCCGAGGCCCGCCATGAGCCAGGCAGCGGGTTCAGGCCTGTCCTGCCCTGGAGGTCTGCTGCCATGGCCCCCCCACACACTTTGGGATCCTCCCCGCTGCCTGCTCAGGACTCCAAGATGCCCTCTCTCCTCCCTACACAGTGAACCCACCTAAGCTCAACCCACTGAACTCCTCTTTCCTCTACCTCCACAATCACCCATCTCCCGCAGCTCACAGGCCCTTCCTGAAGGCTGTCTCCATGGCCAGGTGGACTGTCCCTTCCTAACCCCAAGCTCGATGCCTGCCCAGAGGGCACACTGAACCTGGTCCTGAGCCTGACCTGTCCAGGTCGAGCGTGCGCACCGTGGGCACCCATATGCATGGGCTTGGCAGCTTCCTCTGCGGGGCAGTTGTCTCACCTGCTTCTTGGCAAAGGCAGGTGGTGCCATCCTGCTCTGAGTGACACGCGCCACCCTGACGCCTATGAGAGCCGACGGCAGGGCAGTGAGGCTGTCAGCCTACTGAGGGCCAGGAGTTTGGCTGATTCCCCGCCACACAGAGAAGCCCTGCCCAACTGACTGGCCTCCGCGGCCCTCCCCAGGCCCCACTCACCAGCCTTCCTCCAGATGTCCTCAGGCATGTAGCCGGGGAGGGCCCGGGGCACCAACTCCCGGTGAACGTCTGAAACACAAGCCAGTGTCATTGTCACACCCAGCAGGGGTGGCCGCTGCCCCTCCAGACAGTCCCAGTGTACCCAGCTGGGCCCTGAGGGCAGGGCGGGAATGTGGGCTTCAAGGGGAGGGCCTGCCTCAGTCGTCCAGGTGGGTGGACCCAAGCTCAGGCTGGGGTCTCCAGAGCTATGGAACTAGGACTCGCCTGGGTGCCGGGCGTACCCCGGGCCTCTCGGTTTCTGCAGTGGGCATCCAGGGAGGTAAGCAGAAATTTGGGGGCCTCCCAGCTCTGAGGCCCGGCCTACTGGACCCCAAGCTCCTGGCTTCCTAGCAGGCCAGGTGGTGTTTTGTGCAAAGTGAAAAAGGTACCTCTCTTTCTTTCTTTCTTTTTAGAGACAGAGTCTGGCTCTGTTGCCCAGGCTGGGGTGCAGTGGCATGATTACTGCTTACCACAACCTTGACCTCCTGGGCTCTGGTGATCCTCCCACCTCGGCCCCCTGACTAGCTGGGATCACAGCTACTTTTTGTAGTTATGAGGTGTTGCTATGTTGCCCAGGCTGGTCTCCACCTCCTGGGCTCAGGCGATCCTCCCGCCTCGGCCTCCTGAGTAGCTGGGATCACAGATGTGAGCCGCTGCTCCCGGCTGGCCCCTCTTTCTCAAGTGAAGCTGCTCTGGTTTGTAGTTTATTCCTCGGCCTGCAAGTCTGCAGCCCTTCCAGGCATCAGTCCCACCTGTAGCACCTGTGCAGCCCCCTCCCCACCACCCCTCGCCCTGCCTCAGGGCACACCTAGCTGCGAGCCTTCAGGGCCAGCAGAGCTGCTGAGGGGCCGGGCAGCGGGCACAGGGCCCATCTTTGTGTCCTCTGCATCACTGTAGCGCCGGGTCCAGCGGTTGAGCTCCTCCCGGTCGGCCTCCTGGCACCGGCGCAGCACCGTGAGCGACCGACGTGTCTTCTCCACCATGTCCATGATACAGTTCAGGAGCTGTGGGTGGGGCGGTCTTCAGCACAAGGAGGTCCGGGGTGTGGCCCGCCCAGACTGCCAGGGCCAGGTGTGAACACAACCTCCACTGCCTGGAAAGGAGCTTCCTAGCCTGTCTGGCTTCCAGCCCGGGACTCCTGACACCTTGGGACTCTCCTCTCCCACCCGCTGAGGGGAACAGTCTCGGGACCCCGCTTTCTGCCTGGGCTCTGCGCCCACAAAGGAAGTGGACATGGGGTGATGCTGGAAATGGGATCTGGAGGAGTGCCCACCCTGTTCCGGGCCACTCCTGCTGGGATGGGCACAAGCAGGGTGGCTGGCTCCCAAGGAGACCGGCTTCTGGGACGCAGGACACTGTCCACCCACCCAGCAGTTGTCCTGCAGCACAGGCCCCAGACCCACTTTCTCTTTCAAAGCTCTGTCAAAGCTCTGGAGGGTGCTGAGAGGAGGCGTGTGGGGGAGGGCGGGCCTCCCAACTGCTTTCTGTATCCTTCTCCTGGATCTTCCCCCAGGGCCATGCACAGGCCTGAGCCAGCAGCAGGGGTGCAGGTGAAGGGCCAGGTGGCCAGAGGGGCCAGGGTGGAGCTAGCCCGCACACAGCCCTCACCCTCTGGCCACGCTGCCCGCGGTGGGCAGCACCCGGGAGTGGCTGGGGGGCCACTCACATTGTTGAGGTGTTTCCACTCCTCCGCCCACTCACGCTCTGTGAGCCTGTGGTCGATCACCTCTTCCTGCCGTGAACCCGGCACCCCTGGGGGAGCAGGGAACAGGACAGTTAGGCCCGGCTCAGAGCCGAACCTCGCCCCTTTCCCCAAGCCCTGCCCCCTCCCCAAGCCCCGCCCACACCCCTTCATAACCTTGCTCTCTAACCATGCCCTTTACCCAGACCCCGCCCACATGCAAAACCCCACCCCTTTCTCCCAAGCCCTGCCCACACTCCAGGTCCCACCCATACCCCAGACTTCTCCCCTTCCTCTCCAGTCCTGCCCTATACCCAAGGCCCCGCCCACACTCCCAGGCCCTGCCCATGCGCTGTGCTACTTGAGAAAATCAGGTGAGGCACTGACCCTCTGCCCACTGCCCAGGGGTGGAGGCCACAGATGGGCTAAGGCTTGAGAGGAAGAGAACATCCATTCTCATCCCTGGCCACCCCTTTCCTGCTGCCCAGTCTCCCAGTCCAGCTCCTCACCCTTTCTGACCCCAATGCCCACTGAACCCACTTCACCCTCACTCAAGGGCCTCGCCTCGCTCAAGGCCTTCGAGGGCTCCTGCAGCTACCCAGTTCCAGCCTACGCCTTCCCACTGCCTGTCAACTAGCCGGACTCTTACGCATCTCTCAAAGCCCAGGTCCCAGGCCCCCTCCTCCTCTGCAGCCCCGAGTCCTCAGAATTCTCTGAGCCCTGTGAGTCTCTGGTCATTTAGTAACTGCAGGCGCTTCCTTGTTTATTCCGACACCTTCTGCGGGTGGTGTCGGCTCTGCAGAACAGGGTGGCGTGTCCCACTTGCCTGTGCCCCAGGTGAGCGCCAGCCTGGCAGAAGGTGCTAAGGTTGTGTATTGGCTCTGGTGTGGTCACTGTCCCCTGCCTAAGCTCCACTGGAGACAGTGGGCCAGAGAGAGTCCTGGGCCCTCATCCTGCTGCTGTGTCTCAGTTTCCCTACCCTGCCTCCCCCTGGGGATGTAAAGGCTTTCAGGATCACGTGCACAGAACCTGTGTGGCAGGGAAGGGAGGCAGGTTAACAGTAAACTCGGAAGATGCCTGTTGTGTGGACTGCTTCCCCCTCACCCTTGCTTAACCAGGGAGGGAGGGTTTTTATCCTTAGGCCCATCTTGCGGACGAGGAGACCGAGGCTGGCTAGGGGACATGTGTGCCCCAGGTTACCACCCCGGGGTTGGTGAAGGCTGTGTGTGAACCAAGGGCCCCGGACTGGCATCAGACCACATTCACGGCAGCCCCTGTGCGGCCTCTTTCCATCAGGAGCTGAGTGCCAGCTCAGCCCATCACCAGCTGAAAGCCTAACTGGGCGCAGGCCCTTGTGACATGCAGTGGGCCCTGTCCCTCATGCCGCTTTAGCCACCCCGGGTGGTGCAGAACTCACACAGGGCCATGTGGGGCCGCACTCGCCTGCCCCTGCCTGACACTGCTGACTGAACTCTGTGCCACTGATTCTCAAGCCTGACATGTTGGGGCATCTTTTGTGGTTGGGCCAGGGACGGGTCAACGGGCCGCCTCCCCGGATGCTCAGAAAACCTCATGGGGGATGCCCAGTGGGTCTGAACCCCTGAGGGGCTCTGGCTTCTCCTGTCTCCAGATGTCCACAGCCCTCCCCCTCCAACTGCTGTTTCGGGCAGCCTCAGCCTTGCCTCCTGGGGCCCAGGGCTCTCTGTGGCCTCCTCCACCCTAAAGACCTCCTGGCCCAAAACTGCGGCAGGGTTAGAAGGCGGCCACGGCTTGCTGTCCACCCTCCTGCCGGCTGCCTGGGAACCACAGCCACACCAACGCCCCAACCAAAATCGTAATGCTCGTGGCCGGCAGCTGGCGTTTATTTTTGCATTAGCAGAAGCGGTGGGATTAGCACCTGCCTGACCCTGCTGCGGCGAGCCAGACGCCGTCACCTGCTGCCTGGGCCCAGGAAACTGCCACAGGTGGGGGTTGGGAGATGGCTTGTACTGGACAAGGCCTCCGCTGACCCGGCCGCTGGCCCTCTGCCATGCCAGGGCCTCTGCCCTAGCAGTAGTCTCTGGGCCCCCCTCCTGGCCTGTCCTGGAGGGTCCTGGATGGGCCAGGCCCGGCACCTCTTGGTCCTCAGAGCAAGGACGGCCGGGAGCCACAAAGACGTGGCTGGGCTTTGGGTGTGTCACTGCGCTCTCTGGGCCTCAGTCTCCTTGTCTGAGACATGGGCGTGCTGGCACACACCGTGTTGGCAGCTCCTAAGCTGCGTGAAGGCAACAGCACGAGCCAGGCTCCATGGGGCACCCATAACAGCCAGGCCTCACGGTGACGCCTGCGGGCAGTGTTAACTTCTCAGTCCTAACACAACTCTGGGGTGGAATTTCTGTTCAACCCAGGAACAGAGGAGGAAACGGAGGCACAGAGAACTCTGTGACCCACCCAAGGGTGTATCGCTGGGAAATCGCTGGGCTCAGGTGAGAACCAGGCACTTAGCTCCAGGCCTGAGGGCACCCAGCCCGGGGGGAGGTGGCCCTGGCCCCAGAACAGGCCTCTGCAACCACAGAGAGGCGTGCTGGGCGGGCCTGTCAGGTTGCCCCCAAGAGAGCGGCCAAGAAAGACAGCTCAGAGGCTCTTACTCCCACACCCATGCTCCTGCATCCTCCCAGACAGACAAGGCTAGGGGACAGCCAGGCATCTCCCGAGCTCAGGCACACACAGCTGTGGCAGTGCCCTGCCCACACAGGCTCAGACACACAGACCTCCCCCTCCCCCTCGACCCTGCGCCCAGGGCACGCTCACACACATGCATGCTCCTGCGAGCACACACGTGTTCATGCCCGCCCAGCACGCCACTCACCAAGTTGCCGATGGCGCTCCCGCAGCTCACGGGGGTCAGGGTGGCGGTAAGAGTCACGGAAGTGGTGGGCCATGGCCATGTCCTCCAGGCGGTAGTGCGGGGGTGGGACTGGCCCATGGCCGGGGCTGCAGCGGGGGGCGGGGCTCAGGGTGCAGGGCCGCTTGCTCAGGTGCTCGGGGTGCGGCGGGTCCCGGTCCGACCCATTCTCTTTGGTCCTGCTCCACAGAATGGGCCAGGGTGGGGCCGCAGGCAGGGCAGGTCCAGGAGGTGGGGGAGAGGGAGATGGCGGGGACAGAGGGGGTAGGGGGACAGAGACGCAGAGAATGAGGCCAATCCCATAGCAGGTCTGCTCCACCTCACCCTCCTCAAGGCCAGCCCCCTCGACCCTGTGCCCAGGGCATGCATGTGCTCCTGAACCCAGCGGTCAAGATGCCTGACACCTGCTGTGGGAACCAGGGAGAAGACCATGGACAGCAGAGCCAGATACTGTCCACCCCTCGGGCAGCAGTGGGACCGGCCTGATGGCAACCAGCAGAGAGGGCCCTGTTTGGGCGCCTGGGAACCTGAACTCCTGGATGCTGGGGGTCTCTGCCAGCTCCAAGGGTGCCAGCGGGTATTTTCTTCCAGTTTCCTTCCTGTACCCACCCAGGCAATCGTACACTGCATGGCCCCAGGGCCTGGCTGTGGCCTGGGTCCTGAGGCACGGGGGGAGGCATGGCTGGTACCTGTCGGGAGTTCTCCTCTTGCCGTTCTCATTGACATCCAGCAGCAGCTCTGTGGAGTCCACGGGCGAGGAGGCGCTGGCGTCCAGCAGGAGTTGCTCATGCTGCGCCAGGTACTGGGCAGGTGTCTGCTTGGCCAGGCGCGCGCAGTGTAAGAGCTCACGCTGCAGCAGCGGCAGGTTGGCCTGCGGGGGAGGGGCTCGGGCAGCCAAGGGAAACACACGCTCTGTCCAGGTGGAGGGATCCCTGTTGGGTAGCCAGCCAGGCTCAAGGCCCAACTGGCCTCTGTGACTGGACCGGTTGCAAGACCTCTCTGGGCCTCACATTCTGGGATATGCCTGTGGCATCCTCACGGTGCCACGGGAGGCCAGGGATGGAGAATCGCAAGACAGTGCCTGGCCTGGGCACGTGGCAATTTGGGGTGCGTGGGACCCACCCAGACCCTGCTCCTCAGGCTGGGCCCCTCCCCTCATAAGGTCCTCCTGGGGTGACCCCATGATCCACATAACCACTGGCAACTGAACACCAGGCTCTGCACTAACTGGTGAGGGCCACACAGTTGACCGCAGTGCACGCACTCCACTGCAGACCTGCCTCGAATGCCCGGTGCTGCACCACGTGGCTGCCTCCTCCAGTTCCCGGCCCTCTCGACATGTGCTCCCAAGCCTTTTCCAAGTCCTTCCAGGCTGCCGTGAGGAGGCGGCAGTCCCCCACTTTCTCATGTGCTAGGGGCCTGGCCAGCCTCCTGCCCACGCCCGGCCCTATGCATGTTGTCCAGTGACATACATGCGCTCCTGTGGCCTGTACTCTTATGTGGAGGCTGAATGGGACCAGTGGCCATCTGTTGGCCACGCCAGGAGTATTAGCTGGAAACCACCACACACCCTCCCCTCCCTCACCAGCCCCCCAGGCCACCCCTGGACTAGCACAGACACCAGCTGGCCACAGTCACACAGTCAGGGTGGTGGAAACATCTGGATCCCACCAGCTGGGGTCAGTTGGGCACCGGAGCTGCAGGAGAGGGTGGTGGATGGGGAAGCCTCTCCAGGCTTCTGGAACCAGCCACGGGCAGGTTCAGGAGTGGGTACAGTGGACCCGGGACTGGGCAGCACAGTGTGGGTGGCCCCTGGCTGGGGGAGAGGTGGCCATGGAGCCCTGTCGAAGGTCTCTCCTGAGGCAGCGGCCTCCCTCTGTCCCAGGAGCCCAGGGGTTCAGAGAGATGTCACCACTCAAACTCTGGACACACTAAGCTGGTCACAAAATGCCCCTGGACCCCAACGCCCCGTCTGAGGGAGGGCCTGATGCTGTAGGGCACAGAGCCACCCTCTGCTGGCAGGGACGGAGGCCAGGAAAGCCAGGGTCTGCCTCAGGCATGGGGTTTCCATGGGCTCCACCAGGCACCTCGCCTGAAGCCTGCCTGTCTGTGGGCACTGTAGGGGGCCCACGCAGGCTCTGCCACCGAAATACTGTGTGGTCTTAGGCAGGCCACCGAACTTCTCTGAGCCCTGCCTTAGCTGCACACCGGTGCTGGGGAAACTCTGGGGGCAACGGGCTCTGTGGGTTCCGTGTGGACAAGCCAGGCCTGTCCTGCCACATCGTGAGGTGGGCGTTGTCACCACTCATGGAAGAGAGGACCATGGTAGAGCAGGCCTGGCTGGGCACCTCCAGCTGCACTCTCATGTGTGGTTGCTGCTCTTCTGGAGTGCCACCCCTGAGGGCGGCTGTGGGGGGGGGTCAGGGTGGTGGGTCTGGGGGCTGTGGATGTCCAGGAAGGCACCACCATTACTCCTGGCCCAGGCCATAGCCGGAAACACCAGGTCCTCCCACCCAGCCCTCTCTGTGTCCAGTCTCCTGAGGCTGGGCTCTCCCTGCCATGTTCCACGTGGGTAGTGGCCATGGTCCTGCAGTGACGGGGTGGAGCCACCCACCGGGGAACCGCGGGCAGGGATCTGGCCAGCTCCTAGTCGATCTGCAGGGATGCAGAACTGGCCACAGCAGTTTTCAAGTTTATTTGGAATCCTGGTCTCCCCAGAAGCTCCACATCAGGGGCCGGATGGACTGTGTGTTCCTGCCGACCCAGCCAGCCCAGGGCCCCGGGTGGAGGTGCAAGATGGACGGGCCCCTCATCTTAGCTGGCTCTCAGAGCCCCTGGGCACAGAGGTAAAACTGAGGTAGAGAGGTCTCTCAAGAAAGCAGCACTATGCTAGGGGCTATCTTATTTGATGCCCCCTGGGGGTGGTGCCACATTGGGGTGTGGTGGGCCACCTGGGGGATCCCCTAGGTGCTATGGGCGGGGCTTCGGGCCAGGCAGGGGTAGAGGACACCACAACATCCCCCTGCCCGCCCCTGCTCTGTGGGTAAATGGGGCATGGCTGCTGGGCCGGGGCCTCTGCTGCTAATATTCGACCTGACACATGGCAGGTACAGGGCGTCCCCAAGATGGGGGCGGCAGAGCCAGCAGGAAGTCGGGGGGCAGGGGAGGGGCTCTGAGTACATGCCAGTGATGCCGGGGAGGCCCAGGCCCGCTCTTGCCAGCCCCAGTCAGGGGCAAGGTGGTGGGGATGGTGGAGGGGGTGTGGGGGTGCGGTATGAGCACAGTGGGTAGGTGAGAAGGAGCTGATATGGGCCTGGGATGGGGTTTGGAGCCTGACAGATCCCAGCCTGAGCCTGGCTCCCTCTCTCCACCCACCAGGGCCTTTGTGCCTCAGTTTCCCTGCCTGTTCATCAGTAGCAACGGCAGTGCCTATTCCACCCCCCACAGGGGTCCACAGGGCTGTGTCAGAGCCTTCTGAAGCATGCATCCTCCAGGGACACCAGGTTCTCCAATGATGAGGACCTCAAATGAGAATCTAGAATCTGCCGAATCTCTTGGTTAAAAAACTCACATTGTTTAGATTGCATTTTTTAAAAAATTCAAGGTCTTCCTATATGTTGCCCAGGCTGGTCTCAAATTCCTGGGCTCTAGTGATCGTCTCACCTTGGCATCCCTAGCAGCTGGGACCACAGACACCACTATGCCCAGCTAATTAAAAAAATTTTTTTTTCTTGTCTTTTATTGTTTCTTCAGAGTCCAGGTCTCACTCTGCCACCCAGGCTGGAGTGCAGTGGCACGATTACAGCTCACTGAAGCCTCGACCTCCTGGGCTCCGGCAATCCTTCTGCCTCAGCCTCCCGAGTAACTGGGACTACTGTTGTGCACTACCACGTCTGGCTAATTTTTTGGATTTTTTTGTAAAGATAAGGTCTTGCTGTGTTACCCAAGCTAGTCTTGAACTTTTGGGCTCAAGCAATCCTCCCACCTCGGCCTCCTTAAGGTGCTGGGATTATAAACCTGAGCCACATTGCCCAGTGGGGGAAAACACTTCTTTTTTTTTTAGACAGGGGGGATGTCTCAATATGTTGCCCTGGTTGGTCTTAAACTCCTGGCCTCAAGCAAACCATCCTCCTCAACCTTCCAAAGAGTTGGGACTACACGTGTGAGCCATCACGCCTGGCTATGACCAATTCTTCCCATGCCTCCTCTGTGTCTCTCCAGTAGCCTGAGATCGACTCCTTTACAGATGTAGAAACTGAGGCACAGAGGAGCCGGGCTTGGTCCAGGCCAACAGCTGCCATGTGGCAGGTCAGACTCAAACCTGGGGGTGTCTGGTCTGGTCTGTCTTCAGGACTCCTCAAGGGAGCCCTGGCGTGCAGACAGCCCATATCCCTGCCACCTCCCCATGCTGCCCGGCCCCCTCGCTGCCTGACTCCCATGCTGCCCAGCCCAGCCCCCCTGCTGCCCGGCCCTCCTGCTGCTCAGCCCCCTAGTTGCCTGACCCCCATGCTGGGTCCCTTGCTACCTGGCCCCTACACTGCCCAGCCCAGACCCTCTGGTTCCCTCCCATGCTTCCCTCCCTTCGCTGCCTGACCCCTGCACTGCCCAGCTCAGTTCCCCCACCACCTAGCCCCCCTGCTCCCTGGTCCCCTTGCTGCCTGAACCCTATGCTGTCCAGCCTGGCCGCCCTGCTGCCCGGCCCCCTGCTGCCTGGACTCCTGGCTGCCCAGCCCCACAATGCCCGACCCTTGGTGCCCCGAGGTGCAGTGAGACCAGCCCCTCCATTAGGCTCCGTAAACCCTGACTCCAGAAATGCTCAGTGGAGGGAGGGTCATGGAGTCAAACGCACTTTGGGCACATTCCATTCCAACTCCGGGGCTGCAAACACTGGCTGGCCAGTGCCATCCAGCATGGGTGGCAGTGAGGCCTGAGGCCATGGTCTTCAGGGAAGGCATGACCTTCTCGTCCACGCCTCGCTGCCTGCCCACCTGTCCAGCTGCATGACCCCTTCCCGCCTGCCCATCCTCTGACCCCACCCACTCAACTGTGCTCACCTTCCTGTGCCTCAGACACACAGCGCCTCCTGCCTTGGGGCCTTTGCACGTGCCTGTTTTCCACCCACTTCCTCACCCTCCTCGGCCTCCCCACGCTCCTCCTCAAGGGCCCCTGGAACAGTCTTGGCCACTCGCGTGCATCCCCAGAACCCACAGTGACTGCAGACGCACGCCCCCTCTCCCTGATGTCAGCCCCAGGGACGTCTGGGCAGCATCTCTGAGCCTCACGGAGCCTGGCGCACAACTGGCATGTGACACCCAGCTGAGGGGTGCGCCAGCCCAGCAGCAACACAGAGACCCCCGAGAGCTCTGTGCCCACGTGCCGGCCTGGGCAGCCAACCGACCCATCGAGCAACTAGTTGGCAGCCTTAACCAGCAGGCATCAGCCCCGCCAGTCAGTGCCAGCCCCCTGGGGGCCAAGGGTGGGCAGAGCCGCCGATGGGACTGGGACGATGGGGGAGCACCCACCTACCTTCAGGAAGGGAATGACAAAAGGCCGCAGAGGGAAGTTGGTGGCCTCCTGCAGCTTGGCGTGGAATTCCTCGATGGTCAGCGTGGAGTTCTGGGGAGAAAGCCTCGGTAAGCGCGTCATGGCTGCCCCAGGAGGCTCTGCGGTGCCTGGGGGCCAGGCATGGTTCCAGGTGTGGGTCCATATGTCGCCTGAGCCATGCAGCTCTTGGAAGGTGCCCTCCCTGTCCCCATGCCCGGCACCCTGACTCACCACCAGGCCCAGCACCAGCGTGCGCACGCGCTCCCCGATCTCAGGCGAGATGTCACCGCCAAACTGCTGCAGGGTGGTGAGGAAGCGCTTGAGCTTGCTGAGCTGCCGCGCCCCGCAGGCCGGGGGCAGGTGCTGCGTGGACAGCGAGGCTGTGGATGATGTGGCTGGGCCATTGCTGAAGCCGTTGGGCGTGGATGGGGCGCCGCCAATGGCCGTGGGCGAGTGGCCGCCACCATTCATCACTGTGGGGGGAGGCATTGGGAGGTGGGGTTGTAGGACAGGGCGGCCACTGGGATGCACCCACTACCACAGGGGCAGAGTGTCAGATGGGACACGGTGGTGCTGGGCCCGCACCCTGTGCATGTCACTGTCTGGTCTTGAAGTCGTGCTCACATATGCCCCTATGGGACTGGAACTAGGCACCTGGAGAGCTGGTGCCTGTCCTGGGTTCCCAGTGTGGTGTGTGTGTGGGGGGGCTCACAGGAGGTGGCTGTGGGTGGCTGTGGGCTGAGGGGGACTTCCCGGCGAGCACCACCCTCAGGCCTTGCTGGGTCCCTGCGGTCAGGCCTCACCCAATGAGGGCACTGGGGCCCCCACTCCTGGCCTGGAAGATGCCACCCTGCCAGCCGACTCGGGCTTCCCGTGACAGCAGAAGACCCTTTGCCCCCAGGCTTGGCGGACATGTCCCTCGGGTGATGGGGACTCAGAAACGGGGAGGTGCTCGTCCCCAAGAGGCTGGTGACCTCACCCTGCCAGGACGGCCTCAAGAACTCCCACCCACAGATGCCTCCACCCTGAGCAATGTCTCCCGTGGTCCCCCAGCAGGGCTGACACTCACACACAGCCCCAACACCTGGGCTTAGGGGCTCAGGGTAAGGGAGAGGGATGGGGACACCCATGGTCACACCGGGTGGGTCTTGCCTGAGCTGTGGGACACACAGACACACATGCACACAGGCCCTGGATGGTGCATGTCGAGGATGAGCAGGTGACCTGAGGGACAGCAGATGCCCTGCAGGGGCTGCCCTGTGGGTCACAGAGCCATGATGGCCTGGCCGGCCCTCCATCAGGTCAGCACTCTGGGCTCTGGCGGACACCCAGGGCTGCTGGGGAAAGGCCCAGGGGCAAGTCCTCATCCCTCCGCCCAGGGACAGAGGCCAGGGCAGCTCCCATACTGGGCCCTGCACCTGTGCCCCCAGGTTGGTAGACAGGCCAGAGACCACTGGGCTCCAGGGCCCTTGGTAGCCAGGGAAGGAGGCCGGGCCTCTGGGAGGCTGAGGCTCTTGGGTGTCGGTTCCAGGCAGCTGCAGGCCATGGTTCCCATCAGGGCACTCTGCCCCTGCATGCCCACCACTGTGCCTTCCTCATACATGGATGCAGTCCCTGCAGGTGGTGTCAAACTCCCTGACTCCTTCCAATGACCCTCTCGGTCCCTGACTACATTTACTCCCTCCCTGCCCTCAGGTGGCATGCACATGTGCACACGTGCATCTGTATGCACATGTACAGGCATACACATACACACACACATGCACACACGTTCTTACACACGCGTGCACATACACACATGCACACACACATCACTCGTGCTTACGCTGCTGTAGCCCTTGAGTTCCCTGCCCTGGGGCACCTCCACTCTCACTGGGAGGTGGGTCTGGGGCGTGGGGTGGAATCCCTGAGGCCACAGCCATCTCCCAGCCCTGTGGTCAGGCTGGCAGGGCCTACGTGCGCCGAGGGCTCGGGAGCCCCATCCAGGGTAGAGCGGCTCCTCCCACTTCCCCCACGTGGCTGGACAGCGGGCCTCATGCGTGGCAGCCAGGGTCACACGCCTCCCACACAGCTGGTGGCCCAGGGCACACAGGAGACCCAGCAGGGTGGCCCTGCCCCCAAGGCTGCCTCCCACCCCACAGCTGACCCTGCGGGCCACAGCACCCAGCACAGCAAGTCAGACCCTCAGCTTGGAGGTTCTCAGTGGTGGGGGTGGGCAAGGGCATCAGCTCTCAGGGGCCCCGGGGCACGGTCCTGGCCCTGCTGTCCCTCTATCTGGTCCCATGGGCACTGCCCAGAGGATCTGGGAAGGCTGGGGGTTCTGGGGAGGCCAGAAGTGGGGTGTATACAGAGGTTCTGGACTCACTGGCATCATGCGGGGCATGGGGACGGATTCAGCCTGCCCTGAGATCCAGGGAAGTGCCTGACTGGGGGTGGGGGTCCCACCATGGGGCTCATTTTGGGACCCAACCTCGGTTTCTCCACATGCAAATGCCCAGCCCAGCCCCTCCCCGAGTTCTGATGTGGGGCTCCAGGGTCAGAGGCCATGTGGCCAGCCCCTCTATTCCACCAGCTTCTTGGCTTGTCCTCTCATGCCCCCAAGTGAGGGGGCACCACCCTGCCCAGCTGGTCTCATGTGCTTGACACGGTCAGTGGCTGCCCCTGCTCCGTGGAGCCTGGAAATCGCTCATGGGAGGTCAGGGTGGGCACAAAACCAGGCTCGGTGTGTTGTCATGGCCTTTCCCAAAGGAGAGCTGTGGCCATGAGCCTGGCACTTGCTGCTAGGGCTCTGAATCCTTCTCAACACAGGTTCCCTAGCAGCCACTCCTGAGGTGAGGTCCATCTGCCACACCGGCATGACGGGTCAGCCGGGGCACCATGACTAGGGCCTCCCAGGCTCTGGGGGATGGTGGGCGCCTGGACCTCTCCTGAGGCCGCGTCCAAGGGTCCCACCATGCATCACTCCCCTCTCCCTGGTGAGCTCAGCCGGCCCCACGGCGGGCGCTGACACACACATGCCCGGTCACGATGGGACAGTTGCCTGTGGTCACCCGGCAGGCCAGGAGACAGCCATCTCCGTGGGGCACCTCACTGCGGGGGCTCGCCCCTCCAGGCCCAGCAGGGGTCTGTGCCACAGTGCATGCTGCCCGGCCCCCACCTGCCAACCTCAGCTGGCCCGGCCTCCACGCAGGCTTACCAGCCTCGCCCTGAGCTGGTCCTCCCGGCGGCCTGCTCTCCCGGCCTCCTGTCTGCACTCCTTCCAGGGCCACCGGCAGGCTCAGCAGCTCGCTCAAGAGACGCCGAAAATAACCCAGCACAAGTGCTTTCATTCCCGCGACAGGTGTGTTACTAAGTTAGACCACACACGTGTCCCCGGCTGGGGCTTGGAGGCACACCCCGGCACCCACAGCTCCCCTGGCCCCGGGGCCCCACGGGGATCGTGCCAGGATGGGGGACCTTGTGGGCACCCCTCTCCCCCACCTGCCTGGGGGGCTCCTGGGCCGTCCTCAGGGCTGGGTCACCACCACCCTGTCCTTCCGTAGATCACATGGCCCCCGATGCCAGCGCCGTCAGGGCCATGTGCCAGGTGCTAGGGCACGGCCAAGCATGGCACGGTGGCAGCCGTGACCAGGACAGCCCTGTGCGGCATAAACATCACACAGCACTGTGGCTCTGTCACACTCAGAGCCTCAGAGCCAGGCATTATGTGGCGGCAGCACCTGGTCGTGTGGTGGGTCGTGTGGTGGCTGCTCTCCGTGACAGATGCTTGAATACTGCCCCGTGAGCACCTCTGCACCTCCTGCCACAGTCCCCTAGTGTTGTGAAATTGTCAACTAGGGACAGGCGTCCACCAAGCGCCCGGCGTGTGTCTAGGCAGCCACCCGTGACAACAAGTGCCGTGACTGCTGCTGTTTTAAAGGTGGGGAAACAGAGGCATGTGGCAGGGGTCGTGCCAGGAAGAGTAAGCAGGGTGGGTCTGCCCCGCACCGGCTGAGTTACAGACTGGTCGGGGACAGGGGTTGCCCCTCTCTGAACACGGAGTCAGCCTTATGCACCCTGTCTTGCTGCCGGGGAACAAGCGTCACTAAGGCTGTCTGCCTCCGGTCCCAGTTCATGCTTGTGGGGGACTGTGGGGCTCAGGGATCTGGCCCTGCCTCCTTGCACCTGCCCCAGGCCTGGCTCTCTCAGGAGGCAGCCCACACACAGGCAAGGCAAGGGTGATGAGGAGGCAGGGAGGGAACTGCCGGAGACTTTGCGGTTGTTGTTATTTTACTTACAGAGACAGACCATCGACCACTTCAGACAGCCGTGGAAGCGGCCGTGCGACAGCGATGCGGCCAGCCTGTCCCCTCGATCTGTAAGCAAAATAAGAAAAACACGCATCAGGCCAGCCACCTGCTTCTCATGGCGGCTCTGGGACCGGGCTCTGCGCCCCCTGGTCCGGGCTCTTCCCCTCTCCAGGTGACATGGCAGGGCTGGACTGGTTAGTCTCTAAGTCCATGTTTGGCAGGACCCTTCTGGAGTCTGTGAGAACCTTGGCACATCAAGCCCTCTCCCTGACCCCCTGGGTAGCACCTCAACGGGCCTGAGTCCTAAGCTATGTGTTTTAAAAGTGACTTGGGGCCTGTGAGGTGACTCACGCCTGTCATCCCAACACTTTGGGAGACCAAGGCCAGACCAGACGGGGCAAAATTATAAGACCCAGTCTCTTTTTTTTTTTTTGAGTTGGAGTCTCACTCTGTCGCCCAGACTGGAGTGCAGTGGCCACTCCCAGCCACCGCAGCCTCGACCTGCTGGGCTCCGGAGATCCTTCCACCTCAGCCTTCCAAGTAGCTGAAACTTTAGGCATGAGTTACCACACCCGGTTAATTTTTGATTTATTGTAGAGATGAAGTCTCACCAAGTTGCCCAGGCGAGTTTCGAACCCGCAGGCTCAGGCAATCCACTCACCTCAGCCTCCCAAGGCACGGGATTACAGGCTGAGCCACCGAGCCTGGCCAACCCAGTTTCTATTTTTTAAACAATTATTTTAAAAGAGTGGCTTGGCAGCTTGGCATGCAGGACTTGGAGTCTCTTAAATCAAGCCCAGGACACAGCAGCCTTGGAGGGAGAGAGCACTGGATGGGAAGGAAGACTCTATGTGTCTGAGCTCGTTAGTAGGCAGAAGCCACAGGACCGGCTGCAGGTGTGTGGGTAGCACATCCTCTGTCATGCGGGTAAGCAGGGTAGGCTGCACCCTCAGCCCTTTGGGATCCTTCCAGCTTCAGGGACACTTGGCAGGGTCCCTGCCCCTTCCTCTGTCCTGTAGTCCTCTTCCTTCAGTCCCCCTGCCTACCCCATGACACTGCAGCTTCAATTCCAAGACGAATTGTACCCAGGGTGATCCCTGTGCAGGAAAAACCACAACCCTCAAGTCAGGGTTCAAGGTCAGTTTCTTGTGGGCTCAGCTGGGAGGTTCTTGCAGGGATTCGCGGTCAAGCACAGACCCCCTTGAGGACTGCCACTAGCCAGGTGCGGGACGCCACTGACCACCAGCTATCAGGAAGCCCCATGGTTCAGGGGACAAATTCAAAGCTGTTTAGGGGTAACCGGAGCCTCAGACAGTCCTACCAGCCCGGAGGAATGAAAGTGACCACTTAGAAACAAACGCAACCTCATGCTCTGTAAGCCCAGTCAAGACTGACACCCCAAATGCGACCATGGTGGGAAGGGTGGAGGGAGTAGGCAGGACCCCAGTTATATGCAGGCCTTTGCTCCCTCGTCTGCTCATAGAGGTCTCAGACAATGTGACCCTGTCCCCAGCCAGAGCTGGAACACAGGCTCTGGCCCAAGGGCAGAGGCGGGCTCAGCCCATGGCATCCAACGGTCTCTGGCCTGGCCGCTGGGACCAGGGGACACTTGCCAGAGCCATTTCAGGCAATGCGCCTGTAGCCTCGTCCCCAGGGAGCCATCACTCCTTCCTGAGCACCCTCTCTCCCCTGGGACAGAGGTAGCCAGCAGCCTCCCGTCACACGTGCTGAACCTCCAGAGGTCGGAGGAGCTCTGGGTTCAGCCCAGAGGTGGGACTTGTTCTGGAAAGGGGGAGGATGGTCCCGGCCTGGCCACCTTGGCCCAAGAGAATGGCCCAACAAGGCTCTGCACTGATGACTGTGGCCTGCGTGACCAGAACTGTCGCCTGCAGGGACCAGAGAAACTGCTGAGTGCAGCCTCCCGCTGTGAGAGGTAGGGCCAGGGCCCTCTCCAGATTCCGTGACATGTGGGGTCCGGGGGCAGCTGGAGCCCTCTGAGTGGACGGAGGATGGGGGGGTGGGGCCACAGGTGTGACCCTGCGCTCCTGCATGTCCGGGCTTTCAGGCCACACCTGCTAGCAGGTGGTATGACCCTGCCGCTGCCACCGAGTCAGGGGTCGGGCTCGGAGCCCACACCCTGCGCGGAGCAGGGTGAGCCCAGCCTTGGATCCGTGGCTGACCCCACAGTCACTGTCTCTTTCCAGGTGGGGGGTGAGTCATGCCCACAGCCCTCGGTGCCACCAGCCTGGGGTGCAGAAGGGAGGCAGGCCTGTGCCGTGGCCCCCAGGTTTTGGGCAGAGCTGCAGGACAGAGGAGCTGTTCTCAGTCAGGTGGGGTCTGAGGCCGCTCCCAGAGAGGGGCCCTGCTCAGGTTTCCAGGAGCTTCTGGCCTTGGAATGTGGGGGTGGCCCAGGGTCATCTAGGACCTGCTCCTGTCCCCTACTGCCCCATGCCTGGAGTTTCCCGTGGTCCAAAGTCATAGAGTCACCAGCTCCTTCCCATAAGCGGAGAACCAGCTGCTCCCGCTGTGGGGCCCCCAGCTTGCCCGGTCCCACCCACCCAGAGCCTGCGAAGCTCCAAGCAGGTGGTCCTGCCCTAGCCCAGCCAGCGCCCACAATCCCTGCAGCCCAGGCCAGAGCCGCCTCTGAGTGCTGCGTTTCTTCTGGGCTGAGCCTGGTCCTGGGTGCGGGACGACATCCTCGGACCTCCCGAATGTCGCAGGAGTTGAAAACTCGAACACAGCAGTACCCCAACGCCTAGTATGGCCCTGGTGTGGGAGTGTGCCACCCTAAGCCAGCCCCATGAGATCCGCTCTACCAAGGAGGGCCCAGAGGAGCTAAGCGGCTGGCCCAGAGTCACACAGCTGGGGAGCAGAAGGATGGGACTGGACCTGGCCCTTGGCCATGACAGGGTGCCCCAAGCCTAACAGGCTCAGCAGAGTTCTCAAGCACTGCGAGGAGCCCCCAGGCAAAGTCCCTGCCCCACTCCGTACCAGCCCTTGGCTGCTGGGGGTACTCACGTGTGTGCGGCGTGAAGGATGGGGGGCGGGTGGCCCCCTGGGCGGCAGTGGGTAGTGGGGGCGGCATGCCAGGGGGTGTGGACCGTAGTTGTGTCTTCACCTCGGCCGGAGAGTCAGGCATTGCGGTGGTGGGCTCCTTCCTGTCTGCTGGGTGGCAACAGGAGAAAAAGAGAGACTGAAGCAGGTGGGGACAGAGACGGTGCCCAACAAGGCCCCACCAGCAGCAGGGCTGGGCCGAGCACCTGTGGACCTGTGGGGCCTGGCTTTACCCCCTGGAGCATCCCTGATGGGCCCTCGCTGGTGGCTGATGTTTCATTGCAGGGGCCGCCAGGCAGAGCCAGGCCAGAGGACTGTGTGGGTCAGACTTTTCAGGTCCACAGAGACCCCACAGCACGGCAGGGACCCCACAGTGCGGTAGTCCCACCCCAGGCTGGAATCTTCTGCATACCAGGGAGTTGGAGCCCCTGAGGCCACAGTGCCACACTACCCTTCCACCAGCGCCCCAGGAGGTTCCAACACAAGCCAGCCTCTCCCCAGCAGTTCTGGTTCAGCAGGTCAAGCTGAGCCCAAGAACACACATTTCTGACATGTTCCCAGGTAAGGCCCCTGGGCAGGGCCCAAAGCCACAGTTCTTTTCCTTCTTTCTTTTCCTTTTTTTGGATCAGTGTCTTGCTCTGTCACCCACAGTGGAGTGCAGCAGTGCAATCAAAGTTCACTGCAGCCTCCAGCTCCAAGGCTCAAGCCATCTTCCCAGCACAACCTGGATAACGCAGTAAAACTTTGTCTCTACAAAAAATAAAAAAATTAGGCCGGGTGTGGTGGCTCACACCTGTAGTCCCAGCACTTTGGGATGTGGAGGCAAGAGGGTGGCCTGAGTCCAGGGGTTCAAGAGCAGCCTGGGCATCTTGTCGAGCCCTTGTCTCTACAATAAACCAAAAAATTAGCCAGGCGTGAGGTGTGCACCAGCTACTTTGCAGGCTGAGGTGGAAGGATAGCCTAAGCCCTGCAGGTAGAGGCTGCGGTGGCCATGATGGTGCTACTGCCCTCCAGCCTGGGCCACAGAGTGAGACCCTGTCTAAAAAAACAGAAGGCAGGGCCCACACAGCCCCATGTGCTCTGCCTGCTAATACCTATGGGTGTCACCTTCAGGCAGGGGGACAGAGGTGACAGAGCTATTGGGGTTTGTCACCATCAGCCATCGTTATGGTGACAGGCTCCCTTTCCCAGGGCCAGGCACCAACTCCAGCAGGCGCAGAGACATACGTGTAAACCTGGGCCACCTGACCTCGAAGACGGCAATTAGCAAGTGACCTTTCCACTGTCACATGCTGAATGCTGTCATGTCTTGCTTAGCCTCATCCCCACGTGCCCATCTTAGAGGGGAGGAAGTCCAGCCACACCGAGGTTGCATCCAGCATCCGTGTGGGCCGGGACTCCAGCCCTGGTGCCCCAGGGCCCCACGGGGCAAGTGTGGGGATGCCCCCTCTCCTCCAGCCCCCTATGGGGAGGGGCAGCAGCCAGCAAACAGCTGCCAATGGGCCGTGTGGCACCTGCTGTCCCTTTGGTGGCCGCTGGCCTACCTCCTGTGGGCGTGCTGCCCCTCCCTGCGCCAGCCTGTCTGGAGGCTGATGGCCGGGCACATGTGTGGCCGCAGCTGTGGGGGCCCGTCAACACGGAACCAGCAGCGGGCCAGCATCCAGTCCCAGTGACGACCAAAGAAGGCCAACATGGCGGCCCCCTGTGGTGCGTGAGCCCCGCCTACCTTCCCCTGACCAGGCTGCCCTTGTGTGCCGGAGGTGGCAGGACGCGGACAAGTGCTCCTGACACCAGGCTAGCTATGGGGATGCAGGCTGGATGCCAGGGACGCTGCCCTATTAGACTTTCCTAGGCCCCTCCACGGAGACAGATGGAAAACAGAGGCAGAACTGAAGGCAGCACAGGGGCGTGGCAGGGCCAGGAGGGCGGTGGGTGCGGGATGGACACCCCCTTGTCTGAGCTGGTTCTGTGGCTGCATCATGGAGACGCTGACCAGAGGCAGCCGGGCCATGTGCCAAGCTGCTCGCAATGCCACAGCCGTCCTTCCATGGCCGCATACTGGGTCCCACCCTCAGGTCCGTGATGCTCTGGACACAGAAGCCAGGACAGATTGTGCCCGCCGGTGCAGTGATAGTCAGGGTTTGTGACATGCCTGACGGGCAGAAAGGGAGCGTGAAGCTGTCCACAGACAAGGGGACTTGGGTGAATGCATGCGAGTGGACATCTATGGCTCGCTTTATCCTCATGGAACCCTGTAAGGCTGAGGCTCCCGTCAGCCCATTTCACGGGGGGTGGAGGGAGCAGGGGACCCAACACATAGACGTGAGGCCATCTGCCTCCTAGAAATGACTAGCCAGGTGTGGAACTGCCGCCTTGGTACTCCCCTGACGCGTCCAAGGCCCCCGCTGTCACCAACATGCTCTTCTCCTGTTGGGGCTCCAGGGACTTGCAGAGAAGTGGAGAGAGGTCTGGGAGGCCAGTCACAGATAGGATGGAGGCCGTGGGGCAGGAGGATAGCTGGGTGGAGGGTGTGGATGGTTGGTGTCCACCCTCCCCCATTCCCCCACTCTCCAGGCCCTGCCTTCCACCCCAGCTGTGGCATTGTGGCCCAGCTGTGGCGTTGGGAACAGCATGGCAGCAGTTGGTGGGGCCCCAGGGTCTTGCTGAACCTCCCTATAGTGCTCCCCCTGTGTGACCCTGAGCAGGTCGCCCCACCCCTCTAAGGCTCATGTTGTCCCCATATATGGGGAGACAGAAACACCTGCCCCGTCGGGCAGCAGGGAAGTTGGGCGGATGTGGAGGTGAAGTCCCCCCATGCCAGCCGGCACTCGGGGACACTGGGCCAAGGAGCAATCGTGAGCTAGGAGCCTTGGCAGCGACTTCACCAGGAAGGCAGGAAATGACCAGACCCTCTGGGAAGGGTGGGCAGGCGAGGAACAACACTGTGACCAAGGGAACACAATGCCCCGTGTCCCTTGTTTCCCGTCATGCCTTTGCCGAATGCCCCATCCACACTTGCAGAGATGACGGGAGTGACCAAGCCACGGGGAAAGATAAAACTTCCAGATGCAACAGAGCCCCTGGTGCCTCACGGGGTCGCCTATGTCCTGGACACGTGGCCTGGGGCCACCACGAGGGACCCTGCAGTGGGGCAGGACAGCCCGGGGCCGAGACTCGCCAGGAAGGGGCTGTCTCTATCTCGAGGGCCTGTATCACTGGGACTGACGTCCATGGGGAACCCACACTGCAGTCTCCTCCTCGCATCAGGCCCCCGGTGCACTGGTGAGGCGGGTCCTGTGATCACACCCATTTCACAGATGGAGAAACTGAGGAACAGAGGGCACGTGACTCATACCGGGTTTCAGAGCCAGGAAGCACCAGACCCAAGTCTGGGCCCCCATGCAGTGACCCCGAGCCCAGAGCCACCCTGCTGTCCTTGGAAACCCGAGGTTGGCCCGTCCCCAACGCGGTCAGCCCAGGGCAGCCTCCTGGCGAGGGCCGGTAGGCAACTGGGCAGACGGCACCCGTCACCATTCCGGGTCAGGTTGGGGTTGGCACTGGCCATGCTGATGCAGCCCGGGCACAGAAAGCACGGCCCCGCCCCCACGAGTCTCCAATATAGAGTCAGAGCCTGGGAAAAGAGACAGGATCCAGTCCGGGCATCTCTTAGCCCTGCGCCCACCTGGGACACCCCCTCACCCCGGATACTCCGTTTCTTTTCCAACAGCCTGTGAGGACTGGCTTCCCAAGTGCAGTAATGTACCTCAGCGAAATGGGCCCATCCCACGTTCATGGGAAGCGTGGGATGGGGTGGCACCTAGCCAGGGCGCCCAACACAAGGGGTCCCTGGGCGTCCGCCGTCCCCAACTGCCCTCCTGGGTCCCACATGCAGT